AACGCCCGCTCCGCAGCGCTGGGGAGAAAAAGCCCATGCAAAGGATCTCTGCAAGGGTAGGCAGGTGGTTTCGGGCTCCTCAGAAAGCTGTTTAAGGAAGGATCCTAGCTCATGACACGGTTTTAGAGATGTCAGAGGGCAACAGAAAACTCACTGCTAGGGGGAAAAAAGCATGGGGGTGGAATAGGGTTGAACATCCCAGGGGTGCAGGGCCATTGGCTACGCCTGGATCCACACGAGAGGGCAGGCAGCTCCCAGTGACAGATGAGTCCAGGGAGGCATTACAGACCAGGAGCGAAACCTTTCCTACAGAGAGCTGGTGGGGAAAAGCAGGTTAGAGGACTGCTTGCTTAGTGTCTGAAGCAGAAGCATGACAGATCTAGGGCAGCACATGGTGGGTAGTCCCCAGCCCTTCCCAGGATGCTCTCTGGGCATCCCCCAAATGTTGTCAGCTACAAATGGGCAAGAAAGACAAGAGGCAGAGGGCTCTGCCTTGCCGACTCAGGGACATGAAAAGCAACAGCAGGACCTCACTAAAGCAGCAGAGGCCATCAGTAAAACCTCAAGCATGCTCTAGCCCAGAGCTGCCTCCTCACCCAGCCACGGAAACACCCAGCATCGGCTCTCCCACCCTGCAGATCTGTGTGTTTCACAACCAAGGCAGTCCCCACCTAATACGGTCGCAGATTAAAAATAAATGCGGTGAGAATGGGGGTATGGTATCCTGCCCGGTCTCTGCCGGCAGGGCAGGAAGGCTGGAGCCACAGGAGCACGTTTTGGTGGTCAGCACTCACACTCGCACATTCAGGAGACACACCGGAGAGGAGGGTTAGATGCTGAAGCAATGTCTGTTAGTTATAGCTTGTTACAGTTATCGTTTATGCATCTTGATTGTAAATGCAAAAGGTGAAGTCACTTAATCCATCATTTCTCAGACATGGATGACAGAGCACATGATTTGGCATAGTAAGTTTTAGGCTAGCTATAAATTAATTGCACAATATTTAAACCTGATTAAGTACATAATAGGCTCAGCAAAGGATTACTTTTCTCCTTACATTTTATACATATATATATATACACACACACACACACAGAGGCATTTTATCATTAAATGCATTTTAGTCTTATCAAGAGACAACTGCCTACTGCAGAATGACTGAAGTGATACCCTTAAAAAGGAAACTATTCTTGGTGTGCTTTGCTGGAAAAGAGAAGTTCCTCTTTGGGGTGATTCTTGTGGGTACGAGTCACAGACAAGCATCACCAGACAGCTAGAGGGGACAGGGGGGCGAGGGGCTGGGGACTGACACAGCTCTGGCAAGCTGTGGGCATGAGTGGTGGCACGCTGAGCTCGTTGCCTGCAGCGGGCAGGAGATACTTGAGCCAAGGGGCCGGATTGGATTATGTTTGGTCTGCTTTTCTAGGACTTGGAGAAAAATTTGGCTTATTTAAAGTGCATTTAGAGTCTGAAAAGCATCTCTGAGAAGGAGCTTTTTTTTTTCCCTACTGCCCTGCAGCGTCCATCAGCTCCCATTTATGAACTGATCTTTTCCAGGGTCTGCCAGTCACCTTCCCCGGCTGCCACAGCCCAAGAGGTGTTAGTCGGAGCTCAGCTGCCTCCTGCTAAGGTGCAAGATCATTATTTAAAAGCCTGACCTCCCCTAACTGGGCAAGGATTCGGGGCTGACAGGAGCAGCGATCTCTGCACCAGGAAAATACACGGCCACATTTCACTGTGCTGTTAGAAGTGCAAGTGAGCGGGAATCCTTCCCACCAGCCTGGAGGTTTCCTAAAAGAGCCTTAAATTAGTGCACACCTCAAAAGCTAACAGGGACAAATCTTGGCCTTGCTATTTACATGGTCAGTGAGACTGGTTGTATGTGCTTGCATACAGGGTGGCAAGATTTGACCTGGAGCCCTACCCAAGAATAGGTCCTCTGAGAAATGCTCTGCCAATTTTACAGCCACTTTTCAAAATAGAAGCCTTAAAAAAAAAAAAAAAAAACAAAACAAACCCACAACAGACTCAGGATGCAGAATCTGCAACGGGACGGTTGCGTCCCTCAGGGAAAATCTGTTCTCACTCCCCAACACACGCACACACACAGTGCGCCGGGACTCCTGCCCACAGTCACGCACGAACGCTGGCTTTCTACAACAAAACGTGAACTACTCATTTGTAACACCACACGCTGAGAGAAGTTGTAGATCCTGAGCCAGGGTTAGGAATCTCTTGGCTTCCAGCATATCAAC